TTGATGGAAATGGGGTTGTTTCCAGGTTTGTATATCAACAATAATGCTCCTATGGGCATTCTTGGATATGTCTTTTGATGGACACAAATCCTCTTGCCTATTGGATACAGATGTAGGAGGGCAACTATGGGATCATAATAAATATTAAGTATCATGGTGTGCTAGACTTCAGGGCAGGTAAGGGGAGGAAATATAAGATAGAGCAAAATAATAACATCGTCCTTGATTTAAGTCTAATGAAGCAGACATATCAATAATTTGTACAGATAAATAAAATGTAATAGCCGCACAAGCTTCGAAAAAGAGGTACCTGGGTGCTGTGAAAACATATGGGGGGGGGTTGATCAGGGGAGGGCACAGGTCCTCTGACCACAGGGAACATGACAAACTTCAGAAACTTGAGCAAAGTCGGTATGTCAGCACAGAGAGGCCAGGGGACATGGAGAAGCAGGCAGGGTTCAGATCTTGCCCAGTACTCTCACCGAGGGGAAGACATTCATTTTTTGAGGGGGAGGAAAGGGTTTGGGGAGAGAGTAATCAGATTTATGAAAAAAAATTATCTGGCTACTGGGTAAAAAAAAACGGATTGAAGGAAGTGTGTGTAGCAAGTAGAGGCAGGGAGACTCATTCAAAGACATGAGCAATCACGGCCATTAAAAGACATTTGGACTCAAAGTGTAGGGATGAAGATGAAGAGATCGAACCAATGAAATGTCATCTTAGATACACGTCTCATCCTATTTCTCTGCTAGTTCAATTTAATCATGGTTCTTGGCCCCCGCCAGCTACTGTCATTTGGACTTCATAAGTGTACCTGAATGATTTAAAACAATAATCAATAGCTTATGAATTAAATCCAAGTCCTCTTCAGGCCAATTGTTTTCCATTGCAATCACGTACTGAGGAAGATCTCATTCATTTCCTACTACATCTGCTCACCTAACATCTGTGGTATCAGGGTTTTATTGAGGTTGATCAGACAAATTCTACCAATAATTCAAATGTGACTCCCAGTTGCAGTACAATTGTGAATGTCGGCGTTATCATTACAAACCAGGAATTACGACGAGTATCCAGTGTCCCTTTCCAACAGAAATGACCCTGCCCACTCTACCCACTATTACTTGTGCCCTTGAACTTGGTCCTAGGCCAAGTTCAAGATTCCAGATGTTCTGCTGGCATAACCAGACACTGTCCCTCAGCTCACAGGATAAACTGAAATGGGTTCCCAGCGAGAAGGGTCTTTAATGTGGCTCCTAGGCCACTCCTCTGCTCTCTAATTTCCACCCCTAAGGGAAACCCTGAATCTCAAGCTACTATGAGCTCTCCTTGCATCTCGGGGGAATGCTAGAAGATTCTACACTTGCACATCAGTATTGCCGTGGAGCGGTGGGTGCACAGACATGAAGCCCCAGGCTCGGGTTTGAGTCTAGACTCCTCTGCCCAAGGGCTGAGGAACTCTGAGCAGGGCCCTAATTCCTCCGGACCTTCATTGCTCATCGGCGAGATGGAAATGGTGGTAACAGCAGCCTGAGCCTTACAGGGCTGCGAGGACTGGATTAGCCACAGGGATCTGCTGGTTACCAGCAGCCTGTCGGCATCGCTGCCATGGATCGAGGTGAACTGTTAAGTCGCTACACGAATTGATCATCCTGCGTCTGCCTTTGCCTGTAGCAGTTCTGGGGCTAAGATCTATTACTCAAAGTCAATGCCCAATGGGAGAAACTTTATTTCAGGCTTTAATCTTCTGAAAAACAATTTTTTTTTCTCCCGAGATGCCAGTGTATTCCATGCTTTCTAACGTGGTATTACTCGTCAGTTTTCCTTCTCTGCCTTAGCTACCCAGAAGCTCAGAGCATGCTAACCTAACGTGTGGACTCTGGCCAGTTTATTTTCCCTTTTTCACTCATTGCTATTCCTTTTCTTTCCCCCATGTTATATTCATGTTTTGTGTGTATTTGAAAAGCTATCTGAAATTCCTTTTGGGTAAGTAAATGGACACAAAGAAAATCACCAACAAAATCAATTTCCCAAGCGCAGCCTGTGCATTCACGAACAGCGCGTTTGCTCAGCAAGCTGCAAGGCTGGGGCAAGTTATCTCACCTCTGCAGCCTCTCTCCCTGTTGGTACAATGAGCGCCCACAATAGAATCTCCTTTAAAGGGCTGTTGTAAGGAAGGAAGGAATTAACTCATAAAAAGCATTCAGGGCGGTGCAGCGTACAATAAGGACTCATGCTAGTTCTTGGGGTTGAAATCATTAGAATTATTCCAGGTATCAGACTGGTGGCTTTTCCAGAGAACCAGCTGCTGGGAATACACACACACACACACACACACACACACACGCACGCTCTTCTCCAAATGTTTTATACCAAATCTGGAAGCCAACCTTTAAATTCTGCCCAGTACATTAATGCGGTGTGCGTGTGTGTTGGGGGGGGGGGGTAATCTTGGGTAAAGAATTGTGTTGGGGTATTGCTGTTTTCCTGCCTCTAAAAATGGAGCCATACGATGCCATTTTATGTCAAATGATACACATGTTAAAAGTGATGCAGCAGAATATCAGTAACCCCTCACCACAGGCACTGTTTGTCCGGCTTGCATTGGTGCTGCAATGACAGAGCGTAATAAACACTTGTTACTGTGAATGACATCACACTCCAAAGGGCCCTTGTTGAACGTCACGCATTGACTGTACATAGCGCTGGGCCCACGACCAGCACCTGCCTTTGCCTCCTCCATCACACCTTCTTCCCTCCAGAGCTGATGACAGTTCTTTCTTCTGAAGCTTTGAGCCAGGCTAGTTCTTTAGCTGAACCAGAATCACCTGGTGGGCTTGTTACTATGCGAAGGGAAATAAGCCAGTCAGAGAAAGACAAATACCATGATTTCTTATATGTGGAATCTAATGAACAAAATATATAACAAACAAAATAGAAGCAGGCTCATAGATACAGAGAAGAGACTGAGCTGTTATCTTATTGAGTTTGGGGGGCTGGGTAAGAAGATAAAGCAAAAAAAAGAGAAAACCACTCATAGACACAAACAGTATGGTGATTGCCAGAGGGAAAAGAAGGTGGGGGAGTAGGAGAGAGTGGGGGGGGGGGGATCAGTGGTTTCCATCACTTGACCTTGGGCGGTGAATGCACGATGCAATATACAGACGATGTACCATAGATTAGTACACCTGCAACTTATATAACTTTATTAATCAATGTCACCCCGGTAAACTCAATAAAAATGAAAACAAAACCCACCAGTTTCTATGAAATCGTTGTTGAAGGCCATGCCCATCACATGGTCAACATCACGCCCAATTGGGGAAACTTTTTCAGGGTCTAGTCCTGGGGAAGCTGCATGTCTAGTATCTGCAGGTTCTGCTCCCCCACGGGTCTCCATCTCCTCTGCTGGCTGCCAAACTGACATTTTACGTGAGTTCACCTGATTTTACTGTAACAAAAAATTAAAAAAATATTTAACTATGAGAACCAAAGAACACGTGTTTTGCAAGGCTGTGTACCGCCTCTGCTCCTCCCTTCACCACGTCTCGCCCGGCAAGACCTGCATTCACCTTTTAAGTCCCAGCCTCCTCTCCTTTCTCTGCCAATGGACTCCCCGCACCAGGGACAGCAGTGATATCTGTATCCCTACCCTCTTTGCAGTAAAACCCACCTACCAACTGCCAATCACCTTAAAACACTGCTCCAATCATGCGTGTCACCTTTCTAGTCAAAGCCCTTCTGAGACTCCCCTGGCCCCCAGCTGTCAAAACTCTATCCCAAATGGCCGGCCTCCCCTCCCCATCTGGATTCTGGCTGAATGTGGCCCAGGGCAAACACCAGCTGGGTTCTGGAGGGAGAAGGGGTCAGAGGGTCCAGTCTCTGGTTCTCTTGCTGCAGGGACGTCACAGGCTGTTTCCCCCCTGGATGAAGGCAGCCCTTCCCTGGGTGAAGGGCATGGCTGCTCCCTCCCTGGGCCTCTGAGGGCACAGAACGCTCCACCTTTGTAACCTTGGCTGAAGTTTTCTGAAGTTATTCTAAGTGATGTACTTCCTGCTACAACCTGCCTGATACCTCTCCCCAGCCTCACACCTCTAAGTGAACACTCACCAAGTGCATGCAAGAGAAAATATCCTTTCACCAGTCATTTTCCAGACTTTGAATATCACTATTAGGAAACATTTTGCAGCAATTTAAAAGTTGCCTTTATGTCATGAAGAATTTTAGAATTCTATCTTTAAGCCTAAACTGTTACTGAACATTAAACCAAAAAATGTAGTATGTAATGCTTAGCCTTGAAGGTTAAAAATGACATTTCCTCTTAAAATTATGTATATTTAATCCTAGAAATATCCTCATTTTTGTATTATGATCCTTCCATAGGTATTTTGATATATCAGTGCCATCTGCTGGGGAAGTTAATATACCATTAGGTTTCTAAATCCCAAAATATATGTCTTTTGGGGGCTGGAGGGGATAAATGTACTCTTTATTTAAGAAAAAAGCCTTATTTTTAAATACACAGCTGCTTAACTTCTACATCATCACCGATATAAACCCCAATTAATTACAAAGCACTAAAATAAAGTCTGAAACATAATTTTTAAAACACACTAAACATTTCTATTGATACATCTCCTGGTTTCTAGAATATTCTTATGTGGTTCTGCTCTACTTTTGTAGGAAGCTCAACAAGTCTCAGCATGAGCTGGCTCTTTTCCAAAGATCCATGATACTTGTATGTAAGAGAAAAGTGAAATATATATGTTTAGATATAATATATATTGCATGTATTTAAATAAAATATATACATATTTTTCAGTACATGACAAAGTTTCAGGTGTGAAGTGAGTAGACAGGTATAAGATTAGATCTTTCTGGAGTTCTTTCGCCAACTCTAAAAAGCAACTGTAACAGACACATATAAACAACACGACACAACTGTTAAATTTTCTGATAAAAATTGCAACAGATGTTCTAAATGATAATATAGAAACATAAAAGATTGCTTAACTGATTTTAATAACATGACACAAAACCCCTACACTTGATAGAATCGTTATGCAAAATACATAGATGAATACTGTCTTCTTTTAAAAATATAAAATAAATAAGCAAGACATGTGAAAATAGGCAAGTTTCCATTAAATAAATGAAATCTTTTTTAAAAAAGAAAGTTTTGCTTTTCATATCATTTGAAAAAGGAAAATTATCATTTAAACAATATTCAAGTTTATTAAACAAATTTTAAAGGTAATATAAAATGTTTAGCTTTCATCAGCTTCAAGGTTTATGTTGCTCCCAAATTTTGCATATAACTGAACTTTCAAATCTGCTAACACCCGCTGAATGGATTCCACTCTGGATTCTAAGGCGTCGATTTCTTCTTGCAAATTTTTCTGGAAAAAAAAAATTGTTTAAGTTAATTCTATTCAATTGGATGATTTCTAGCACCTGTTGCTGAAAAAATATTTGGGAACACTTTTAGGTCAGAACTTTCTAAACTTGAACAGGCAGCTACATACACAATACTGATCATTAGATCTCAACCAAAAGTCTAAAAATGGGCATTTTTAATTCAGGGCCTATATTGCTTATAAGATAAATCAAACTCGTTTTCTCAGTTTTGGCTGATTTCAAAAACATAAGAGATAAAAGGAAATTAATTTCTAAATTTTACCATATCTGAATAAACAAAGAACCCTCCATAAACACGTCGGCCACTTCTGCTAAACACTGCGTCACAGGCATGGCTTCTGCCGGAGCCTCTCCAACCGCCCATAAGGTAACTATGCAAAAATTCATGCTACCATGAACAACTAAGATAACGATTCACAGTCAAAACATGGCAGAAATTTTTTGAGCCTTTCCATCTAGATTACGTACTCCATGCAGGCAAGGACCAGGGTGTCCTGTTGTCCGTGTACCTAGTAAGTGATAGAAACCGATAGAGCAGTGGTTCTCAACCTGTGGGTCGCGACCCCTTTGGGGGTCGAACGATCCTTTCACAGGGGTCGCCTAAGACCACCAGAAAACACATATATAATTACATATTGTTTTTGTGATTAATCACTATGCTTTAATTATGTTCAATTTGTAACAATGAAATTGGGGGTCACCACAACATGAGGAACTGTATTAAAGGGTCGCAGCATTAGGAAGGTTGAGAACCACTGCGATAGAGTATACACTCCATAAATACTTGTGAAATGAATGAATGAATTGCAAAATGAAGGTTCAATATATTTGTGTGGCAGGGGCAGGGGTGGGGCTGGGAAGGATGGAGGAATGTTCACAATAGTGACAAAAACTTCTCGTGACATACTTGCAGGGTTATTTTAGGATGGCTAAAAAGAAAACCAGAATTACACAATTTTACTATGAAAGAAAAGACTTCAGCATAGAAGGGGACTCAATGTTTCTACACGGAAAGACTCAGGAGTGTTAGTTCTACCTGAGGTTTATTAAATGTGCATTTAAGTCATGAAAAGTTGTGCTTTTATGACATTTAAAGCAGGAAGACAAACATTTTAAATAATATTCAAGCTAATTAGGCAACTTTCAAGAGAATTAGAAAATATTTAACTGCCATCAGCTTCTCATACACAACTCGACTGCCCTCTCAGGCATAGCTGGAGGACCCGTGAACTGGAAACTAATTTGCTAAGTCTCAAACACGTCAATGAACTTACACTGACCCAGTAATTACACTTCACTGATTATTTTCTTTAAGAATTTCTTAAATGTGAGCAAAGATTAAAGTATAAAAATGCTCACTAGAGCAGCACTTCAGGAAAATACTGGAAACATTAGGAGGACAGTGAGCTGAGTCAATGTCCACCAACATGGCATTAAAGTCATCAAACATGGTGTCTTAACGTATGTGTGCCTGGCCCAGAGCAGGCTCCCAGGGAGCATCTGCTGGATAAATAAACATTAATGGGAGGAGAAAACACTACCGGGATGTTAACTGACCAAAAGGTGAAGCGAAAGAAAGAGGAGAGGACATAAGGGAAAGGCATGGAGATGCTCATCATGGATGACCACCTCTGGGTAGTGGCATTGCGGGTGGTTTTTCTGTTGCTTTGTAATATCCTGTGCTTTGTAAACACTTTTAACTCAGAGCGCAGGCTCAGGAATCGCAAGCTCATTCCCCGTGTCACTTTGAATAAGCGCCGAAAGCTCTCTAAGCCTCTATTCTTCAACTCTAACTGGAACTAATGGTACCTGTCTCACAGAGTACTTGTTAGGATAAAATAAACTTACACTTGAAACGCATTCGGAACACATGTGGGGCACTCTGAGACTCGGGAAGTATTACCCAGCATCCATTACTTTCCCTACTTCTTTGTAAGGATACAAATCCCAATGTAAGAGTCAGAGTTCATCACCCAGGGAAAGATTCCAATATACCTTTGCTTCTTCTAACATGTCTTGTGTTTCTTCTTGAGAATGGCTAATGAAAACATCACCAATCTGATAAGGTATCATTAAGCAGTCTTCATCTGCAAGCATGATGTCCTCGCAGGCATCTTCTAAATTCTGGAGTTGTTTCTGCAAATGCAAAAGGGAACAGCAATGAACAATGTATTCAACATTTCCCGATAGAGCTAGCAGCCCATTTTAATTTGGGGACACCAACTCTCGGAGAGCTAACACACTGATCTCTAGATACTTCCAGACTGCTACAAGCGTGCTGCGGTGGACAGCAGGAATCTGTGGCCACTCACAGTATCTCCTACCTTAACAGTCTCTCATTTTGTAAGCTCTGCCTTCCTGTGGGAGAAGTAAAGCGAAGGCAAACACGAATCTACACTTCTCAGCCGTGCCTGGTGATAGGATGGAAGCAAAGAACTTGAATCCCACCAATCTAATGCACTTGAACTGGACTTCAACGCAGGGAGTTGCACAAGCAGCGGCTGGGCACAAGGCCTCCAGGTTACAGGGGCAGCTGGGTGGCAGCGCAGTGCCCTAGGTCTGAGGAGCAGGCAGCTGGCGTGGAGACAGCAGCAGTGCCATCCCAGCCAATGCTCTGAGACATGGTTCTGGGACCTGCTCCTGGAACCTCAGCCCAGAGTCCCACCTCTCCACAATCTGTAAGTTTTCTCACACCCTTAAACAAGGTTTTTCTTCTTAAACTAGAGTAGGTTATGTCACCTGTGACAGAGTCCAGACAGATATAAGCACAAGTTATCGAATTCAGTTTTTAAGAGCTATTGCATAAAGAACTTTTATTTTTCTGAAATAAGATACATCTCTCCAGTACCTTTTTTACATCTATTTCTTCCTTCAGCTCTGTGATTCTACTCGTATTCCGTGCAAATTTGTTTATCTTTTGTTGATCTTCAAAAGTAACATTGACGTCTTCTGCAGCCTGAAAAGAGTTAAATGCCAGACTCTCCTTAGTTTGGCCTCACTTGTTATAAAGGAGGAAAGAAAGGCGTACCTGGTTTCAGTAAGGACCCCATAGCCTGGCTCAGTGGCCACACCCTCCCCTCCCCTGGCCTCTGTGACCAAAGGCATAAGGTCCGCACACTCTGATCTCTCCAGAGGGTGAAGCACCCTCTTGTCTCAACCAACATGGAGCTCAGTGGTCAGAACAGGACGGCAGACCTGAAAGTCGGCCCTCCCATCACAGGCGCTCATCATCCTGTAAACAGCTTCGCACACACCAGGCCCATCATCAGACCCAGAGAACATCTTGAGAAAGTCCTTTACATCCCCATACATACAGCTTTGAATATTCAACCTTGCACATATTTTCATGAACATGAACGCTGGTAAACACTGGCCTGCAGCACAGAAACCCAAGGCAAGTCCTTATGCAGACAGTCCTAGCGTTCAAGTCGTTTTACTTCACGATAACTCCAATTCCCTAAGCCAATAGGGCACAGAGAACCCCGAGTTCCTGCTCTCCCGCAGAGTTCAAGTACTGAGCCCCGAGAACCCATGTCCTTACAGGTGCAGTCATCGCGAAAGACCAGGCTTCCCATACACACAACTAGGGCTCAAGGCAGGGCTTCTGAATTTGAACCTGAATCGTGCTCATCAGTCACATGCACACGGTCTCTGAAAAGTTGTAGAGAACTGGGCCCCTGCTTCCCACCTGTCCAGACAGGTGCTTCCTGTTGGAGCCCCCACAGCCCTGCACACACCTGGCCCTGGAGTGCACTTCCTCGGCGGGGGCTTTCTCACTGGGGTTCGGGCTAAAGGTGGCGGGGAGGCACATGGGCCTGGGTGAGCCGCATGCCACCCAGCGAGTGCCGTGTGCAGAAAGGGAGAAGCCGCCCCTTCCCTAACAGCCCTGCCTTCCCTTTTCATCTCACTGATCTAGAACATTCCTACTGCCTGACGCTTCATTTCTGCAGGGAGGGCTTAATTCTTAATTGGGGGCCCGTGGGCATTGAGGGGTCCATTCACCCCCTGAAACTATGCAAAATGGCATGTGTGGTATGTGTACTGATCGGGAGGGGTCTTCACAGCTCTCATCAAGATTCTTAAAGGAACCCCCTACCACCCCTCCCCCCAGGTAGGAACTCCTGCTGTAACAAAAGCCAGATGCAGTTACTACCGCTCACGAAGCCGTAAGAATTCATGGAGGAAGGAGTTGTAGCATTTGAGGCAGCAGAGTGGTGGAAACAGAGTGGATTCACACCCACGCGAGCAGGAACCATGGCAAATTTCCCAATTCTCTGGAGCCAGCTGGGGTGTGCCATCCTTTAGGAAAGCAGGGAAGCCATGCCCACCTCAGAGGTGGCAGCATGGGCACCAGCAGAGGGCCTGCGGGTGAGTCACCTCCCGCCAAGGGCCAGCTAGTGCTCTACTTCCTGACTGTTCACCAACCACCATCACACAGGAAGGACACACGGAAGGTGCGAGGTGAAAACCAAAATCCCTGCACCCCGACGGCCCTTTCCGTGAGACTCGTCTCCCATGGGCTCTGGGAGAAAACAGAAGCGGTCAGTCCTCACACTGGGCGCGGGTGTGACCAGCAGGTCTCTCGGAGAAGGAAATGCCGGCCAATGTCAGTCTGCTTCTATTTTTGTCTTTTAAAGATACCTAACAAGTCTCTGAGACACAACTATGCTCTGTATTTTCATGCACCTTCCGTGCATACACTCACTTAACAATTACTTAGTGTCTCCTCTGTGCCAGGCAGTGAAAAGGGAGCCGCCGTCCTGCCCTGGTGAACACCGAGCTCACGTCTGGTGGAGGACATGGGCAAAACACACGGTTTTCTGGTGGAAGGTGACACAGGTGATGGGACGGGGTGAGTGTTGGGGGATGTAGGGAGTGAAGGAAGGTCGACGGCTCCTGCGGAGGGAGCTCCCTGCGGAGGGAGGTGCACAGGTACCGACTGGAGCCCCTGCATGGCCACCAACCGGTCTTAGGACGCAGAGGGGAGAGGAGGGGACAGCACCTTCTCGGGAACATTCACAGGCAGGCAGGTGCTACAACCCGAAGGCCTCCAACCGAAACCAACACAAGGGGCTCCCGTGACACCCACCTTGTCAGCCCAGGGGTTCCTCCAGGGGCCGAGGGGAGTCTGTGCAGCCGGCCTCTGGGGTCTGTTCCCAGCAGTGGGGACACTAGGAGAGGCGGCCGCGCCACCAGCGGGCTCACTAAGAGAAGAAAAGCCTCCGGGTTTGGGCCACACCTACTGTTTTCCTACCCTCCCGGGTTCAAGCTCTCCCCACATCCCAGGCCTTTCCCACTTTCCTTCTGTTCCAGGCACTGGGTCTCAGGGAGAAACTCCCTCCCTGGGTGCTGCCCCCTTCCCTCCGGCGTTCCCTTCCCTCCTCCCTAATCAGCGGCCCACACCTGACCACACAGCCTCCTCTGGACACTCCTGTGTGACCCTCGATGCCTGGCCTCCCTCCGGGAGCACGAGGTCTGCACGGCCAGGAGGCCGAGGGGATAAAACCACGGTCCTCCCATAACCATCCCATCCCAGCAGCCTGCGCCATAGGACACGCTCCTGAAGCTC